GCATGGCAGTGCCGTGGGGAGTGGACGCCGGAAAAAAACAAGCGTGATCGTGTGCGAGCCTCCGACAGTCAGTACCCACATACTGCTACATTACATGTACACCGAACATAATTCCCGAAAACGTCCTGCATGAGTCACACGTTGGAGCGATGCCCAAAATCTGGTCAGGGACGTATGAAAATGCATTCGGGATTTTCGGACCCCCCCCCAGGCCCAATTCATGGGTGATCATCGATGGTTTTAGGGTGTAGGTCTTCAGGGTTTAAGGCCTAAAAAGTTTCGGGTATGAGGGTTCAAGTCCATGAAAAAAGGTTTTGGGCTTTGGGTTTGAGGCGTGTCCGGCAAAATCGACACTCTAAAAGAGTCTCGATGGACTCAAACCCCTTTTTTGCCCTGTTCAAGCGAGCTATGCAAAGGCAGGGTGTCATAGGGATTTATGCTCTATGATCTCATGGGTTCGCGTGTCGAACTAATGGGAAAATCAGGAGTTTCTATATCAGCTTGATGAGCAGTAGCTAAAAACGTTGGGAACATGGCGCTATGATTGTCTGATGATGATGGTGATGATGATATGGTGCTGTTAAATGGTGATGATGATGACGATAGTAATGATGGTTAATGATAGCCGTCAGTAGTAATCCTCGTCATAGCATGTGCTAGATTTTCAGTCGGCGCCCTCCTCATTTTCGAAATATATTCATAGTATTCAGACTTCCAGATCAGATCAGTGTCGCAGTAGCAATTGAGGCTACATGACTTGGCGACTTCAGAGCGTCGCTCCCTGCACTTTCACGGAGCTTCTAGCAAAGAGCCCTCTACGGATGCTAGGCTGTGAGGTTTGGTGCACCCTAAAATGACATGGGGGCCGGCTGAACTGTTTGCAAAATATGGTCAAAGCACGCAAGAGGAATAACCAGCTACCTCAACCTACCAAAGCTGAAGCCCTGCGAAGCACTAAGTCACTAAGCACACCAACAACCTAAACCCTCTAAGCCCTGAACCCCTTAAGTCCCAAACCCTAGGCCTTGGGCCCTAAACCTCTAGGCCTTGGGCCCCCGAAGCCAGGTCTACTTGGCTGCGGCCGTGGTTGTTTCTGTGTCGCAGCGCAGGGGGCCCCAGCGGCAAGCAGATTGCGGTGTGTTAGGGTGTTGGGCTCTTTCATGTATAGCTCAAGCTTTTTGGCATTGGGGATTTAGGGGTTTGGGGTTTAGGGATGAAGGTGTGGGATCATGTGCACCCTTAGAGAATTATGCCGTGAAGTCTCAACCCGAAACTCTAGAGGCCGCAAATGAAAATGTCGAACACTCAAAGATGTAGAGCAAAAGGAAGGCTCTGAACTGGGCCAATTTTGACGGAGGCAATTCAGAGTCTATGGTCCAGTGGTTTTCACCGTAGAAGTGTAGGGGTCCGGAGTTTATGCAGTCAAAACCAAAACCGGAGATCCTACCCTGACTAACTCCACGAAGCGTAAACCCTCAATGTCCAGAAACGTAAATCACGCAGGTAAAGCATTATACAAAACATTATAAATGTCCTTACACCCTTGACCTCTAGCCCCGAAGCCCCAATCACAAATCGGTCAAGTCCTCTATATATAGCTCAAGCAAATTGCGCTGAACCTTCTTGACATGCACTGCCTGCGATATTTGCAGCAATGCAGGCCCTAAGCGCTAACCCCCTAAACGCTGAAACTCTAGAAACGTATCAAAACTCCGAAGCCCCGGACCCTACGCCCCAAACCCTGCAAATCCTAAACTGTAACAGCTATAAACTCCAATCCCTAAATCCTAAATAAACCCAAAGCCTTATAATAAGCTGACTCTAAAGCCCTAAACCCTAAACCTCGCCCCATGGGGTTAGTCGGGAGGCTTCGGTGGACCGAAAAAGGAGTGCTTACAACTTACAACCGAAAACCCTCAACCCTAAAGGCCCTAAACCCTAAACCCTAAAACTTAAACCCTAAGTCCTAAAACCTAAACCCTAAAACCGAAACCCTAAACCCTAAACCCTAAACCCCAAGCCCTAAACCCTAAACCCTAAACCCAAGCCCGAACGTTCGACGCAAGGTTTGCAGAAGTCTTTGTCTGGGCCGGGGAGCCCAGCCATGGATTTTTAGTTGTTCTTTTTGAGGTTAGGGTCTTAGGGCTTAGGTTTTAGGGTTTAGGGTTTAGGGTTTCGGCAGCTTTGGTCGAGCAGTATTTTGTCGAGCTCGCTAGTTAGTAAATGGAGAAACACCCACCCACCCTTAGAATCCCATAACATTGGAATATAGAGTTCGTTCTTTTACACCAACGAGTTCCATTTACAGTGGGGCGCTCTTCACATTTCGTCCCCACAGCCCCAATGTTCGGAAAGTGCAATAGCATTGGTCCCCACAGCCCCCGGATGTTCGAAAACTGCAATAGCATTGGTCCCCGCGGTCCCCCGATGTTCGAAAAGTGCAATAGCATTGGTCCCCACAGCCAATAGCATTGGTCCCCCCAGCCCCCGATGTTCGAAAAGTGCAATAGCATTGGCCCCCACAGCCAATAGCATTGGTCCCCACAGCCCCCCGATGTTCGAAAAGTGCAATAGCATTGGTCTCCCAGATGTTCGAAATCTGCAATAGCATTGGTCCCCCTGCAATAGCATTGGTCCCCGATGTTCGAAACCTGCAATAGCATTGGCCCCTCCATGTTCGAAATCTGCAACGGCGTTGGTCCCAATTGTTCGAAATCTTCAATAGCATTGGTTCCCGATGTTCGAAATCTGCAATAGCATTGGTACCCCATGTTCGAAATCTGCAATGGCATTGGGGGTCAAATGTTCGAAAAGTGCCGTAGGGTGTTAATACCATTGGTAGAGAGGGTTTAGGGTTTAGGGTTTAGGGTTAAGGAAGGGGGGCTCAAAGGGCTTTGTGGGTCCTTTATTGCATGGTTTAGAGGGTTTTCTGAAGGCGGGGGTTTTGGCATCTGACAGGGCTTTGTCTATTGTTTATCGAGTTTTGAGCAGGGTTTAGGGTTTAGGGGCTTAGGGTTTAGGGTTTAGGGGTTTAGGGTTTAGCGAGTTTTGTTAGTACGGTTATACAGGAGGCTGAATAGTTGGCAATACCATTCGTCACTGTCCTGAACCGTGAACGGAAACCAAAAGCCCAAAACCCTATTCATGGCGTCCAGAGAGCTGAGGTTACGGTTGATTCCAAAATCGGCGGCTACCACCAGCCTGACAGTATCATCTCGTGGCTACGTCCGGCTAGGTTCCAGATCCCCACGACTTGGTAGATGAGCGCGCGATGTCGCTCGACAAGCACCGAGTCGTCGAGCCGTCGTGAATGATCGACTCAGAATGGAGTCGTCTGCGACTGTAATCGCAGCTTCTGGACCCTGCTAGAAAAATAGCGTCAATAGCGGTCATCTAGGTGATAATATTGAGAACCCTACCTCTTCGAGTTGGAGCAACTGTGGCAATGATGCGACGTCGGCTTCCAAATCCCATCCCCTCAATAAATCATGGCGGCCTGTAGCATGCTGTCTCAAATGCCTGCTGCTTCGCTTCTGCATGCTGCATACAGGCATCGGTGTGTGCGCTTACGGTCGAGGCAGCCCACTTAACGATGCTGTGAAATTCATGGAGCCCTAAACCCTACAGAGCAGAGCAGTTCCGACGCTATGCTTGCTGTCGCAGCTTTGCACATGCGTGCGGTGCGCCTTTGGCAGAAGCTGAGACAGCACACTGAAGCGCAGCAGCTCGCATCCGAAGCAGCTAT